CCCCCCCTCTCCCTCAGCGAGATATCTGTACACTGACTAGTGTCTCTCAGTCCCCTCTCCCTCAGGGAGATATCTGTACACTGACTGGTGTCTCTCAGTCCCCTCTCTCTCTCTCTCAGGGAGATATCTGTACACTAACTGGTGTCTCTCAGTCCCCTCTCTCTCAGGGAGATATCTGTACACTGACTGGTGTCTCTCAGTCCCCTCTCCCTTAGGGAAATATCTGTACACTGACTGGTGTCTCTCAGTCCCCTCTCCCTCAGGGAGATATCTGTACACTGACTGGTGTCTCTCAGTCCCCTCTCTCCCTCAGGGAGATATCTGTACACTGACTGGTGTCTCTCAGTCCCCTGTCACTCTCAGGGAGATATCTGTACACTGACTCAGCATGCTACTTTAGCCGTATTCGAGACTCACGTCACACTCCCTGATGGCGTCCATGGCGACGAGGTTGTCACCGTGATGAAGCTGGAACTGGACCATCTCCATGGCGGCATGCAGGCTGCGTGCGTCCTGGGCGTTCTCGGCACTGCACTCCGCTATGAGCTCCTGTAGCAGGACGACGTACCTCATCATCCTTCGGATGGGCATCTGTAGGTACGAGCCCAGCTCCATCCGGTCACCCAGGCACAGCTGCCTCCTCTGGGGAACGAACGCACAACGGGGACAGCGTTACAAACACACGAATTCCACTGCGAGACCTGGCCATTCAGCCCTCCTACTGTGGCCCATCGTTCACCTCATCTTCACTGTCCCCGTTCCCATTGTCTCTTCAACAGCTGGGGCTTCATACATCTCCGCGCTTCCAACTCGTGCAGTCGCAAGAGTCACCCAGCTCGGAAACAGACCCTTCAGCCCGTGCCAACCCCTCATCCCAAACTAACCTGGTCCCCCTACCCCACGCATGGCCCACGTCCCTCCGAACCTTTCCTCTTCACGGCAAGTCGGTGCAGGAGTGGGCCCATTCGGCCCTTCGAGCCTGCACCACCCGTTCAATACAATCGCAGCTGATCACGCAATCCCAGTATCCCGTTCCCGCTTTCTCCCCGTATCCCTTTAGCCACATGGGCCACGTCCCTGTTGAATATATCGAACCAACTGGGCCCCAACAGCTCTCCTTGGGAGATAATTCAATCCATGGGAAAAGAAACATCTTGGTTTTGTCTGATGCAGCATCCATCTGTCATTCCTTAGCCCACTGGCCCAAATGATCAAGATCCCTTTGCAGTCTCAGATAACCCTGTTCGCTGTTCCACCACCGACCCAATTGATCAAGATCCCCTTCGTAATTGTGGGTAATCTTCTTCACTGTCCACAGTGCCACCCATCTAGGCGCCATTCGCCAACTTACTAACCATGCCTTCTATATTCTTATCCAACCTGTTTCCATAAATGACAAACAACAGCGGACCCAGCACCATCTCTAGCGGCCTGGACCTATCTGTTGTCTGCGCTCACCACCGGAAGTACATCCCGCACACGAACCACTCTCTTCATTGAAAAAAAAAGTTGCTCCTTGTGTCCTTTTTAAATCGTTCTCCTCTCACGTTAGAAATAGGCCGCCCCTAGTTTTGAACTCCACCACCCGAGGGGAAACAGCCTGGCTATTCACCCTGTCTGTGCCCCTCATGATTTTATAAACCACTATAAGTTCACCCCCTCAGCCTCCGATGCTGCAGTGAAAGAAGTCCCAGCCTAATGAGCCCCCTCCTTATAACGCAAAACCTCCATTCCCAGCAACATCCTGGTAAATCTCTTCTGAACCTTCTCCAGCTTAATAACATCCTTCCTGTAACAGGGTGACCAGAACTGGACACAGGGCTCCAGAAGAGGCCTCACCAACGTCCCTGTACAACCTCAACATGACGTCCCCAATTGCTACGCTCAAAGGTCTGAGCAATGAAGGCAAGCGTGATAAACGCCTTCCTAACCACCTTGTCTCCCTGTCACACAAACTTCAAAGAATAACGGTCCTGAATCTCTCGGTCACTCTGTTCTACAGTGCTACCCAGGGCCCAACCATTAAGTGTATAAGTCCTGCCTTTGTTTGTGTTACCAAAATGCATTACCTCGCACTTACCCAAATTAAACTCCATCTGCCACTCCTCAGCCCATTCAGCCATTGGATCCTGGTTGGATGAACCATTCCCAAGACTTACCACTGCCCCTAAAACTGGAGAAACTTCCTCCTGCCTAGAATCATACAATCGCTACGGTGCAGAAACAGGCCATTCAGTCCATCGAGTCAGCAATGAGGCTCTGAAGATATCCTACACAGACCCCACCCTGTCCCTGTAACCCTGCATTGCTCATGGCTAACCCACCTAGCCTGCACATCCCTGGGCATTTTGGGTAATTTCCCAGGGCTAACCCACCCTAACCTGCACATCCCTGGGCACTATGGGTAATTTCCCATGGCTAACCCACCCTAACCCGCACATCCCTGGGCACTATGGGTAATTTCCATTGGCTAACCCACCCTAACCTGCACATCCCTGGGCACTATGGGTAATTTCCCATGGCTAACTCACTATAGCCTGCACATCCCTGGGCACTATGGGTAATTTCCCATGGCT